GCCCTGTTGCTTTGACATTCCTTAGCATGGAGAGCTCACAGAGCTACTCATGATGCCACTCAGGCCATGGAAGAGGCTGTGGGAGAACTGAGGAGGAATCCGAGGATGCACAGGGATCAGCCCTGCCTTCCCACAACAGTGCACTGTGGGATGCTTACCCACATTGCTTTGCTTGATCTATCGACAGGAGACTAGTAACGTGACGATAAACTGTTGAGAGTGGATTTGACCAGTTTTCACTTTTGAAGACTTTTGCATGTCAACAGCACTTCCGTTGCCAAACCTTTCCAGTGTAGACATAGCCTTAGTTTTGTAGTTCCTTGTTACTGTTACCTTTTAACAAGTGCTGATCCCAATCTTGCCCTGATGTGTACACCAAGGGGAGTAATATTGGCATATCAAGGGAGTTAGTGGGGGTTATACAATAGAACCTCAGTTACAAACAACTTGGGAATGGAAGTTGTTTGAACTGAGTGTTATGATGGTTTCAAAAGTTTGCAACTGCATGCTGTTTTAATACAGCTTTGAAACTTGTGCAGAAGAAAAATGCTTCTTTAATCATCTTAATTTAAATGTTTGCTGTCTTTTCTCCTGTCTCTTGCTACCTGATGAGGGATATAAAATCCCGTTTAATCAGTTAATGTGTAACTAGTTATCCGATTAAGCAGGATCCCATGGGTGGGGACTATTGGGCCCTGGTCCCACGGGGGTTGCCAGCTAACAAGTTACCGGGAAGCATCATCCAGTAAGGTTAATGTTTACTTGTTAAACAGTTACCCATTCACATCCCTACGCCTGATTGTGCATTTCTGGTTCCAAATGACGTGTGTGGTTGATCAGTTTGTAACAGGATTTGACCCACAATTCTTAGATTTTCGATATATAGATTTATTTAAATTCTTTGAAACTGACATTTCTATGAAATACAACAAATATGTCTTCAACTAAAATAACTTCGTTATGCTAGGGAATACAGTTCTGCAATTTCAGGACAAAGTAAAATTCATCAGATCTGAACTCAGATCTGACGGCTATGTTGGTTTTAAAGGATGTGTATTGCTGTAATAGGCTGATCTGGGATTTTTTGATCTACAGTATAATTTCATCTTGATTGCCTTCTGTTAGTGGGGCTTAAACCTCTAAATTGGCAGTGTAGAACATGGTTCTGGTTACACTTGGATCAGCTATCGAGAATACAAGTGCTAGTTACTGTTAGCGCCACCTTTCAGTAGGTACATTAAAGTGTGTACACTACAATATTTATCTGTTTATAAGACTCAGCTGGAACTAACGTAAGGTTTTTAATATTAACTTCAGCTGAGTTCGAGGTATACTTCTCCATTATTTCTTTACTTGAGAGTGAAACAAATATTTGTTTGCCTTTGAGAGAGTTTTATCAGTTGCCTTTTGATTGAATTTCTCACACTGAAATACTTTGCCAAATGAACATGTCTGATTACAAGCTTAATATGAGCATGTGCTGATGGCACTCAATAAACATAGTGTATTCACTGGGATTTAAACTGTGTTTCAGTTAACATCATTTTAATTACTCTGTTGGACAGATGGTGTCTGCTTTCAATAATTTCACCCTAAAGCCTCATTTAAGTCATACTTGGGTTCTGAATGCATCTGTCACGGGGGTGGATAATTGCAGTAACTTGGATTACATTTTGAGAGGGAAATACTCTCTTAACAGTTGATAATGATAACTCATGCAGCACTATTAATAACGGGGTATTCTGCCAGTTGGCATTTTTGAGAGGGGAACATGTGAAAATAATGTTCCTGATTTCTCTATTGGAAGTTCATCTGTAATATGTCGTTTAGTTTGAAATGCCTGTTACAATTTGTCAGGCAAGAAGCTTGTTCCAAAGACCAGTTTTATGTTTGGAGAGGGGGGGGTTACATGCTGGGGCACAATTGCTCACTATTATGAATTCATCAACACAAATACAGCTGCATTCTTTACAAAAATCAGTTAAAATAAAAAGATACAATAGTATTGCTCATAGACTCCTTGTGAGTCTGTGAATGTTATGATTAGTACATTATTTTTACTACTCTCACCATGACAGCTGTGTAAAGACCACGTCCATTCTCCTTCATCAAACGAGCTGCCAGCTAAATTTCAGTTCCAGAATCCTTACTGCCATTTGTATGCATGAAGCAGAAAGAACCCAGATTACTTTTCAGGCTGAGTGGTGGCATTTGGGGGATGGGGAAATGTGCTCTGAACTGGCAGTGGAGCAAACTTGATAGGAGACTAAACAGGTTCAGAAGGAGAGAGAAGTGACTTTCACTCAGCTCTCTTCATTGCCAGGAGGCTTGTTTGATTTTTAGGGGACCCAGGAGACAGATCATGTGACTAACTATCAAAAGTTTCATTGTGAAACCAGCAAATTCAGTCTTGCAAAAACATTGTGGTTATCCAGAGACCGCAAAGAGCTGAATTTAGAGTTTCTACAAATGTTTAATGGGCCAAACAGGATAAAATCCTGCTAGTTTGGTTTGTTACCAACACTAAAATTAGTAGTTTCACATGACTTCCCATTGCCTCTTAGCTCAGTAAATAAAAATATAAGAGCTGGGAATTCATGACAAATGAGTCCAATTGTTAGCCAAATGATTGTAACTGTTGTTTTTATCTAGTCATTCTGGTACAATTTTTAATTCCGGCCTCTGAAGTCATCTTGATTTTAAAATGGCTTGTAGTTTGCATATCACATTAGAGGCTGTTACTAGTGGTGTGTTTTCTTAAAAATGATCCTGGATGTTTTATGCAAATAAAATAAAACTCCCAGAGTATTCAGCAGAAGAATCTCTGTATATAGTTAAATTGGAGACTGATATCTTTATATAATTATGGTTGCCACGTGTCCAGTTTTGAACCAGAAAGTCCAGTATTTGAGCTTTCTGTTTGGGAAACAAATTGAGAAAATATAAATGTCTGGTATTTTCTAAATAAGATATACTGTAGATTGTGATGTCATGTCAAGTGTGTCCGGTATTTTTGTTGAAACAGCTGGCAACCCTACATATATTTGTAATAACTTAAAATATCATAAAATATTATCATAATACTTCAAAACTACATTGAATTTAGCAGCATGAATTCAGTGGATAAGTTACATTGTCACAGACGCATGCTTTTGGAACCCATTTGAAATGTATTCAGGAAAACAAGCTGGCAAGCTAACGCAGTCAACTATGACTGATCTATGTAGCAGGGAAGTTGTATTCAGTAAAATAATGCTCTTGTACCTGGGAGAGGTATTCAGCTTTAAGGATGTCACCTGACCAGGCGATGCTTATCTGTTAACTGGTGGCCCGGCTGGGCTGGAGCAGCTCCCCCACTGCTCTGGCCTTCCATGTCACAGGGAAGGAGGGGAGGCGAATGTTTGGCCTGGCTGGAGTAGCTCCCCACCCACCTGCAGTGTAGTGTGCTCCGCTGGAGCAGCCTCCCCGTCTGGGATGTGGTGTGGCAGGTCCAGCCAACCCTGAGCAGTGCCCACCTGCAGCAGGCCCGCCTTGGCCGGAGCAGCAGGCTGTGCAGTAGGCTCGGCTGTGCTGGAGCAGCCCCCCTGCCTGCAGGATCCAGTTGAAATATTAACTTTTTTACCGGTTAAATGTTATGTTTAACAGATTAAATAGGATTTTACATCCCTATCTCTGTTCTTCATGTAAATTTGAATTCTTGTTAATGGAAATAATTTTTAATAGTTACGGTTCGAGTGAGAGTGTGTAGAGGAGAGATTGTGTAGTTAGTGGCGGTTAGGGTGCAACCTGACATGCTACAGAGCCTCATTCAGATCCCTTAGAGCCTTTATGCCCCTGGGCAAGTTACCTGACCATGGTTTATGCAACAAACATGTAATCCCCAAGTGATGCAGTTCCACCAACCCAAATCTCGGTGTAGCTATTGTTACAGTGTTTATGGAGGGGCTTCTTCCCTCATCATCGCTATCACAGCCTTGGAGCCCTGCATGAGTAGACAAGCTCTTGGTATATCTGTGCTTCCATGTCTAGTACTTCTACCTCAATTAGGGATGTAACCGACTAGTTGACTGTCCGATAAGCTTATGCTTTTTGGATAGTCAACTGGTGAGGTGACTAGTTGCTCCCTCCCTTCTCCCTGCCCCCGCTGCCTCTATCAGAAGTAACAATGGAGGGAGCTGGCTTAAAAGCTGGTTCTCCCCCAGCACTGTCTCAGGGGGGGCGGAAGGAGGTAGAGGCACAGCATGAAATGACGCAAGTGGGGACTGAAGCAGTCTTCGCTTCTGCTGTGATTCTGCTTTTGAAATGTACAAGAGCCCCATTGACTGTAGGGAGTGTGGAGCCAGTCACGTGTTGGCCCCGCGATCCCTGCAGAGCTTCCACTGCTGAAATGTAGCAAGAGCGCGACAGGTCTCTTGCCACAGTTCAAAGCCGGAGGCAACCTTATAGACTAATCAAATAGTCGATGGAAATCCCATGGACTATTCGATTAGTTCATAGATTGATACAATACCAGGGCTGGAAGAGCCCTCAGGAGGTCATTGAGCCCTTTGGGTAAGGGGCTGCAGGACCAATCCTAACTAAATCAGTTAGTTCATTAATCTAAATTTAATATCTCTACCTTTCACGGGTGTTGAGGATGAATAAATTCAAGCCTGAGATGTTTAAATATTATGGGCACAATTTTCAGAGAGATAGCTGGGGTAGTCTTTTTCAGGAAAAACACAAAGGAGTCTTGTGGCACCTTAAAGAGTAACAATTGTATTATGGCTTAAGCTTTTGTGAGTAGCAGCTCACTTCATCAGAAGCATGAAGGGGAAGAAAAAGCAACAGATGCAGGGTCACTCCTTGAATAATGTAATTTGTTACCGTAGTAGATTCTAAATAGTGTAATTTCTTAAAGCAATGTGAGTGATTACTTGTTAATAACTGGATAGTCACTTCACAATAGCTCCACTGATGTAATAAATGAAGTATGGTTTTATTTTTCCCTTCTCTGGCAGGCCTAGTCCAAAACCAAGTCATGATTATGAAAGATTGAAGATCCAGTGTATGAAAGCTATGTCAGACCTACAGTCTCTACAGAATCAACATACCAAGACACTAAAAAGATGTGAAGAAGCAGCCAAGGAGGCAGATTTTTATCAGTAAGTAACACACACAAACGGTAGGGGTAAAAAAACAATGTTTTCTCTATGCTGGTTCAGGAGCAGTGCCTACAAGTTTACTAGTGACTTAAGCAGTAGTATTGGTCTGCCAGAAAAGTTTCCGTCTGTTGGATCATGAGGTAATGGATCGTTTAAAATATGCCAATTGTAAATTAGATGATTCTTGCCACCATCTTGGGTTTCTTACCATTCTAAATGCAAGTTATTGTGAACTTCCACAGTCAAAGGATTTTATTGTTTTATTTATTTCACCTACTGTGAAAGGTGGAGTTGTATGATTTCAGAAGGGGGAGAGCATTGGGTTTTATCTGCAGGGATCTTTTAATAGTAACTTCTAAAGCCAGGAATGAATTTGTGTTTCGGTGGAGTAGTGTGAGCCGAAACTATCAACTGAAGTGTTATTAAAATCAGGTATTCAGTGATCGGACAAGTCTAGAAATAAGAGGTTGGGCTCTGCATTGCCCTGACTCCATTTCCCATTTAAATCAGTGGGAGTTTTGATACTTTGAGAGCAGAGTTAGAGCACCAGCAAACACTTGTGAAAAATGAAGTTATGGGGGGAAAAGTTGCCAGTATCTGCTTCTAGCTGTAATGATGATCAATAATTAAAACTTCAGACCACCTAGCGGTGCAAGAATGAACATGACACAAACGTGTCATGATATGAACAATATCTTAGACCACTCTAATTTTTAATCAGCATAGAGGAAAAACAAAATGCTGGAAGTAGCTTTGAGGTTACTGTTTTCTAATGGTGCACCATGCAAAATTGATAAGTTTGTAACGATCTAGGAAACCTTCAAAGTTTTGCACCACCCTGGTTTCAATGAAACTTTTACCCAGGTTGGCCAGTGTTCTCAAGTAACTAGTGAGTTTGGATGTCTTCTCCAAATACTTAATTTTGAAGTCTATGCATAAACATTGTACTTGTACTATGAATTATTCTTGGAAGAGAGAGGATGGGGCTCTTGAGTCAAGGTTGATTTTAACATGGTAATAAGTATGTATTTGCATTGCAGTAGCATCTAAGAGCCCCAGTTATGGACCAGGATCCCCATTGTGCTAGGTGCTGTACAAACAAGACAAAAACGTCCCTGCCCCCAAAGAATTTACCATCTAAGTTAAGTCTGAGTAGCAGATGCTGAGATCAATCTGACCCAGGTGTAAGGATTGTATATATGTAGTCCTGTAAAACATAATTTATCAAAGGCTTCATTTTCTTTGCTTGAGTTATTGCTACCTTTTTAAATTGAATTATGTCTGTAAACTCTTGCGTTATTTTGGTATGTCTACCACAGGACAGGCTATGTAGCTCAGTCATTTACTTGTGAAGGGGGGGAGTGCAAAGAGCCATGGGGGGGGGGGGGAAGAGAAGATACAGGCAACAGCAGTTTTTTTACAATGACTTTAAACCGTTCCCTGGTAAGTGTGAGAATGAGTTCTCAATCTGTTTTAACAATAAAACCTGGCACGGCCACGTTTTTTCTCTAAACTGCAACTTAATACCATTTTAACTCGGGCTGCTGCAACAGGAATCTGCTCAAACACTGAGCTATTGCATTGAATTATTGTTTGAATTACATCCTCAGAAATATGACGTAGTTGTGATTTTTAAATTTAAATAGACATATGTCTGCTATTACAAGCGGTATACATAATTTGGAATAACAATTGGTAGCATTACTGGTTTGGAAAGTCCCAACAATATTTTTTTGGGGAAGGAAAAAAAAGGCAGAAAGCCTTTTCTACTCCATTGATGCCTTATTCTGTGGTATTGCATGGTTTTCTTTTGTTCAAGTGTGTTGAATATGTAGGCTAATTTATTTTGCCTGGAAAATCTTTTATGCCTAGGGCCATCAACTTTGTATCTGTTTAGCAATTTCCTTGTTGAAATACACTACTATCCCAGCAGACTATGCTTGTTCTGTATAAGTGTGTCTGTTTTAACGTTGCACAGTGCTGGCAAATCGCTTTTAATTCCAGAAGGCCTCTCATTGTGCAGTCTTTCTTCAGTGGGATTTACATGCGCATGACATACAGAATATTCAGAGCTGAAGAAATTACTTAATTGTCTGCCTTTTAAAATTTGAAACGTCATCTTGGATTGATGTGCAGTAGTGCATTGGCATGAAGTGGGCTTGCTAGAAAGTTTCAATCTAATGCTCTTTCTTTGTGGCATTCCAGTACGTTGCATAGTCGACTGCTGAGTGACCAGTCGCAGCTGAAGGAGGACATGGATACCTTGAAGAGGAAGAATACTCAGTTGTTACGAGAGCATAACCATCTCCAACAGTCATGTGAGGAAATGAAGAGACTTCACGATGAGGATCAGAAAGAAATAACAGACCTTCGCAGTCAGCAACAGCAGGTAGCCTGCGGTTCTTGGCATGAATGCTATGAGCAACAAATGTTTTCAAGGAATATAAAGCCTTGCTAGGCTGGCCGACCACTTACCTTTCTTTCTACCAGTTGCAGTAATTTTTCCTGTGCGTCAAAAATCTGAGGGTGCGAAGCACCTAATTGCCATTTAAAACCCAATGGTAATATGCTTGTTTAATTATCACTGTTCTCTGATAAACGACTCTCTAAAATTGATTTTGTGTGTGGTTACTTGTCTCTTTTTCCCGTAACTCCATATCTCTAATGTCTTTTAATTAGCAAAATCATCTTACTTTGAAAACCTGCTAGCCCTGCAATATGAAGTGTCTTATAGCTCAATAGGACGAAGAGCTGTACTACTTAGCACTCTAAAAAAAAAAAAAAAAAAAAAATCCCAAAAGGAGACTATTTACACACGCCTAATTTAGCCCTAGTGTCATCTGGGAGTGACCGGGAGCTTGGTGCTGTGTGAGGAGAATTTTGGCATGGGGGGTGTGCAAAGAGGAGAAAGGAGGTGGATTGAGGTTTACGTATGATTGGATTTGGGGAGAGGAGAGAACAGTGTGTTTGAGAGATGGAGTAAGGAGGAAGAGATGAATCACAGAAGGTCAGAAGGGACCATCATGATCACCTAGTCTGACCACCTGCTTGTTGCAGGCCATGGAACCTCACCCCACCACTTCCATAACAGACCCCTAACCCAGGGGCAGGCAATAGTATTTAAAGGGGGTCCATTTGAAAATTTTTTGAAGTGGTCACGGGCTGCCCTGGAAGGGGTGGGGCCTCGGGTGAGAGGGGTAGAGCTTTAAATAGCAGGAGTTGAAAGGGCTTGCATCTCCCCTGCGGCAACCAGGCAACGCATTAGTGGGGCCGGGAGATGTGAGCTCTTTCAACTCCTGCTATTTAAAGGGTTTGTGCCTGCTGGGTAGCTGCGGGGGAGGTGCAAGCCCTTGAGTTGAAAGGATACACACCTCCCCGGCTCCTAGGTCGTGCATTAGGAGGTAGGGTCAAGAGCTGCTGCAGAGCCAGATGAAAGAGCTTAATGTGGCCGGATCCAGCCTGCTGACAGACTCTTGCTCAGCCCTGCCCTAACCTCTGGCTGAGTTACTGACTTCCTCAAATCATGGTATAAAGCAGGTTACAAAGAATCCACCATTTATACCTGTTTAAACCTGCAAGTGACTTGTCCCCATTGCTACAGAGGAAGGCAATAAAAGCAACTCACGGTCTCTGCCAGTCTCACCTTGGAGAAGAGGGGAAATTGGTTTTCAACCCCAAAGTAGGCAGCCAGACCCTGAGCATGTC